CAACTCACTATGTATCCATTCACCATTTATGAAATATCTATGTTCCAAGCCCTGTGCTAGATGCCAGGGATACAGGATGAATGAGACTTCCTGTCCTTAAGCTGCTTTCCAGCTGTATATTCAGTGGTGGTTAGCCCACAGTCATAGGACTACATATAACTCCTCATCTTTTCTTTTAGACCCTTGGAAAAATCATGAAAGAAAGCCTGAGCACTATTAGTAATTATATCAGTACAGGAGTGAAAAGCAGTGGAATAGCCTTTGGAAGTCTTAAAGTCACATGATGATTCAGCAGCAGGGCAAGAAGAAAACTGTTCTATCCTTCTAACATCCAAATGAATTCGTCTTGGAAGAAGCCCTTTATCTAGGCACGGTCAGATTCAGTTTTAGTGTTTTATTCTCTGCCACCATGGCATACATTACAAACATCAGCTCTCCTTCTCCCCAAAGAGTCATCTGTGTCAGTCCACTTTTCTTGCCTTATGCTTGAAAAGGCCTCTGTTTATCCAGTATGATTCTCCAGTGAGTTAATGAGAAGGAAAAGGTTGCTGTATTTGGGTTTGTCCAGATATATCCTTGCAACCGGCCAGACTGAACCAAAGCAAATAAAACCTGTTAGTCTTTCGGGTTCTCTTGGATATGCTGCCAGTTCTTCATCTCTCAGCGAGCGCTTCCTCGCCTGCAAAGGCGGAACTCATAGGCCCATTCTGCATTGCCTTGCTTCAGCCAACAGACTAGAAGTCTGCTTTGCAGAGAAGAGATTGTATGGCAGAGTGGCAACAGGAGCCTGACTTCTAAGCATAGCTCTATCTCTGTCCTACCCGTGTGACCTTAGGTGGGTTTTTCCTTTCTCTGGGCCTCAGCTTCCCTATCTGTTGAAAGGTGGACCTGCTTGATGCTCCCATAGGACTTTAGTGATTCAAACTGTATATCTAAGTTTAGTGAACATTCCCCAATTGAAGATAAAGAAAAGAAAGGACTATTCTTTGTCGATTTCTTTTTACTCATGATCACGTTATGGAATGACTAAAGACTTTTTCTTAAATAGCTTCCAAAAGAAATCTATTTCTCTCTTGCTTTGAAAACTAACGAACAGTTTCTGAGCATTACTGGGGCTTCTTTTGCCAAAGTATTGCTTTTCCTCCAAAAAAAAAAATGGGTCTCTTAAATCTCATTTAATTTTTTCACATGACTTGCACAACAAATCTTGAAAATGGCAATTTTGTTTTTTCTTTGGTCGTTGCCTTCATGTTACTATAAAACTAACCTGGCTTTTGTTTGCAACTAATTTGTAGTCAGGCAGAGAAATTTATTAAGGTATGGGACAGGAAGCGGGCATACGGGGAATGGATGGCAGATTCTCAAAGCAGCATCCCCACATCCCAGAAGTAGCCTTCATTGTTCTTAGCTCTGCTGTCATTTCTGGCCCTTCTCTCTCCTGCACGAACAAAAGCCTTAATCTCTGCAAAGCCTAGAGCACTGGAATGGGATCTGTTTCCTAGTAGGAAACTACTTTGTCCTAGTAGGAAACATATCACAAAGACATTTTTTGATCAGGTCCCACCCTACCAGATGTCATAATTTTAATAACCTCCCTTAATATATTTTGGTCAAATAGTGAACTGTGGTTTATGGGAATAGGGCTTACCATAAAGTTACTTTCTGATTTTGTTAAGGTGCATTGCTTTGCTTTGTCTAAGATATTTTATTTCAAAAACTCATTGAATCATAAAGCTGCAAAGACTATTAAAGTTTAAGTAGTCTAATTTATACACGATATGGATAGGGAAAAACATCCAGAGAAGGGACTTGTCTACAATTATACAACATGTTAGAGGCAGGCAGGCAGGAGCTGGAAGCCAGATCTCCTTGTTCTCAGGCCGGCACTCTTCTCAGCCTCTTCTGCTACATCCCTGAAAGCAGGCCATCGCTCTAGGTGACCCTGAGCTTTGCTGACCTCAGGAGCCCTCCCAGCATGCCCCTCTGATTGGTCTTACACAGGGTCATTCCTTTCTGTGCCGTACAGTCGGTCTTGTGCTTGAGTGAATGTCAGAAAATATTTTCTTCTTCGAGGCACAGTAGCTCATCATAACCGAAAGCCAGTGCCTTTAAAGCATATTAAATATGCCATCAGTTTCCTACTTTGGGTTCAGACTAGCTAGCTAGTCCTGATCACTTTGTAGGGGACAGAAGATGGAAAGCCTCACTCCACCCCATAGAGCTATAATGTGATGGGCCGAATCAGGTGGTAAAGGTTCTCAGTAGGCTAGAAATTCAGCAGGGAAAGAACTAGTTCTGGAGTGGATAAAGGAGTGTTTTCTAGAATTTGGACGGGAGCTTGAAAGATTAGCAGGCTTGAGAAGGCCTTCATTCCTGGACAGGGAAAAGGCATGAGCAGAGACATGAGTAGGGGAAGGAGGTAACAGTTACTGGATGTGTGCTGTCCTTGGTGTTTTACTCATGGTATCTCATTTAATCCTCATGACAGTTCTATGGATTATGTGGTGTTCTGCCTGTTGTACAGCAAAGTAAGGCTCAGAGAGGTAAAGTGACTTACCCAACATGCCTAGCTAATTAGGTAGAAGAGCCAGGATTCACATCTAGGGACAGAGGCTCCAGAACCCCTCCTCTTTCTATTACTGCTCACTAGAAGTAGAAGGAAATGAAAGCGTTTTGGAGCTTCATAGTGGGCTGGATGTAGCGATGGAAATGAAAGTTAGTAGGTTAGTGAGAAACAGGATTTTAGAGGGCATTTAAAGCTGACAGAAGAGGTCAGATTTGATGTGACAGGAAATGAGGAGCCATTCAAGATTCCAGACTTTGTGAAAAAGTGGAATTCATCTAGTCAAAGGAGGAAAGCTGTGTTTTAGGGAAATTAATCTGGCAGTTTACAGGGCGGGTTGGAGGGAGAGGGGACTGGAGACAGGAAGGCTAGCCCGTGGCATTTTTCCTGAATTTTATGTCTGCGGTGGTGAACTTCAGTGGGTGCTGGCAAGGCACATGACCCAGCAGGTACAGAGGAAGACTCAAAAGGAAAAATAATTGAACATCGATGTGTGAGATCCGCTGGATTTTCATCCTGACCCTGGCAGCAGCAGGAAGGCGGGAGGGCGTGGGCTTCAAGCTTACACAGATTTGGGTTTGAATCTCGATTCTAAGTTTTATTGATAGTATGTCTTAGGAAATGTAATTTAGTCCCTCTGAATCCCTGTTCACATCTGTAAAATGAGAATAATAATTTCTACTTGTTTTCATCTCTTAAAGTCATTATGTGGATAAATAAATTAAAGGTACAATGCCTGGTTCATTATAGGTGCTCAAAAAATATTAGCGTCCCTTTTCTCTTATAGAACATTGACTAAAATGACTGTCATCTCTCTTCGAAGAACATTAAGTTAAATTAAAAGATTATAGGAAAGCAAGGCCTGGGGTAGGAAAGAGCGCAGAGCTGTGAAAAATTGAAGTTGTCTTCCATCTCTATGGTTTTCTGATTCTGAATTTAGTCCAATTCAGATTGCTTGTTTTTTTCCCTATCTCTGAAGCTTGTGTGGGTAGCTCCAGAGTGTCATCAAGGGAGGTGACTTGGGGTCCAGCAGGGAGCAGCAGGGAACTTGTCCCCAGCATGCCTGACCTGGCACACAGACTGCCCACCGGCAGTTCAGACTGCAGAGAAAAGGTCAGACCTGACCTTGGGTTGGTGTTGCCCAGCTTGCCCCAGGCAGCACGTCTCATTCCAGGATTGCTTGTCTTCTTGAGCCATGTGAACAGATTTGCGGTACTGAAGTTTGCAGCACAGAGGGGCCAGGTGCATCTTGTTATCTGATTTCATGCCTAGAGAGGTCTGAATGGCCTTTCAGGCAAAAGGAAGAGAAGTCAGATGTGACAGGTGGATTGTTTGCCTACTGACATCCATGGCTGGGCTGTGTTGCTTTTTTTTTTTTTTCTTTTCGATGGTCGGAAAACCTCAGTAATTGGTGAAAAAGGAACTGTTGTGGGCTGACCTGTCTGCTCACTGTGTAGTGCCCACCTTCCTTTCCAAGCCAAGCGTCAGTAGAAAGATCTTTAATTATCTCTGAACCGCAGATATGTGTGCAGTCTCTCAGGCCAGAACTTCTCCCGAGACATCTTCTGACCATGCGATGTTGATGACCTGCAGGTTGTTCTGAAGACAGGCACCTTTGGCAGAGCCTTTACATTCCCCTTAGAAAGTTCAGCTTTATTAGTGGCTGCCTCCCCTCTATCCCCACAGAGGCCACGTTCACCCTCCATAAACTCAGCAGAAACACAACAACATAAATGGCAGTGTCAGAGTCAAACAATTTTTTTAATGGTTAATGTTACCAAATGTTTTTTTGAGTTGTTGAAAGGGCCAGAAAGGAGAAAAAAAAAATTGCAAAGCTTGTAGCTCACTGCTAGAGCATTCTGAGTCTTTAGCATTTATCGACTCTGCACTGAAACTTTCTGAGCGCTTCCTTCCTGTGCACCATCAGAATCAGACCAAGGGCACTGTGGTTGTGTTCAATTTAAAACCATAGATGTTCTGAGCCAGAAGGAACTTGGAGATGAAATCCAACTCTCTCAGTTCAGTTCACGGGGAACCGAAGCCAGAGATGGGAAAGAACTTGCGCAGATGCACCCCGATCAATGGCAGAGCCTGGACAGCTGCCTTCCCCGCTCCGGCTGTCGGTGGTTTTCAAACTTAGCTATACGTTGTAATTACCTAAGGAGCTAAACCATCCTGAGACCTAGGCCCCACCCAGATGAAATAAATCAGAATCTCTGGGCGTGGGGCCCAGGCACCAGCGATTTTTATAGCTCCCCGGGTGACCCCATGTAGTCAAGGCTGAGAGCCAGTGTGCTAGGAGGATGTATGTCCCAGGATGTTCACATTTAAAGGGGGAGAGTAACAGTGTAGCAGAGAAAGTGTTAAACAAATGTGTTCCTGAAATTTGGTGAAGTTCTGAGCAGCCTTGCAGTAACATTGAGGGTAGTTTAGAATCCCAGGTCTGCAACTTCACAGTTGAGCTAGTTAGACTTTCAGCTAGTTGCTGTACCTTTCTCATTCTGGTTTTTCCATCTGACATGAAAATAGTGTCCCAACACCTTCCTTCCAGGGTTGCCAAGAAGATTTGAGATAGTGGATATAAAGCACTAGAATAAGGCCTGGCACATTATAGGTATTCGATAAACGAGTTTTAGTATTTCCCTTAAAAAAAGTTAATTTAGCATTTATGGAACGAATCCCTTACAGTTGTGCAGGAATGTGTTTTAAAACTCAAGAAGTTTCCAACTGCCATCCCGTCTGACTTAACAGGTGCTTGCGTTCTTAATCCCTTTCAGGTCCACCTGGGAAGCGGGATTTGGGTTGACGAGGAGAAATGGCACCAGCTACAAGTAACCCAAGGAGATTCCAAGTACACAAAGAACTTGGCAGTCATGATTTGGGGAACAGATGTTCTGAAGAACAGAAGTGTCACAGGAGTTGCCACAAAAAAAAAGAAAGATGCAGTCCCTAAGCCACCCCTCTCGCCTCACAAACTAAGCATCGTCAGAGGTAGGTCACTGCAGCAGAAGCTATCCTTTACTCTTTCAGAAATGTCATAGGCACAACTCAGTTCCACAAGCACTTGCCGAAGCCTCTCTATGCCAGGCCCCCAGCTGGGCTTGGGGGACACGGGAGCAGATATGGACCTGTCTCAGGAGAGCTCACATGTAACAGGGCCAATGAGCTGTGGACACAGCGCAGGGCAAGGAACTAGCGTGGGAGAGGGACAGGTGGTGCGTTAAGGGAAGGATTCCTGGGGAACGGCGTCACTGAGTTAGGCCTCGGAGGATATGTCAGACACGGAGACACACATATGTAAATGAGATACTTTGGGAGGCAAAAGAATCTGGAACGAAGGCATGGAGGTGGGAAAGAGCAGTACGGAGAGCAGTAAAGGTCAAGACTAGGCGACAATTTGTTGGGGTTCTACCATCATGCTTGGGTCAGTTAATGAGGCAAAGACCAACTGAGGGTCACTGGACTGAGCTGCTTTTCTGGTGTTTGGGAGGAGTTGGGGGGAAGGCAAAAAAGGCAGGGGGGCTATATGCTAGACACTCTGATTTTCCCTTCCTTCCTCCTTCCCTCTCTTCCTCCCTCTCTCTCTCCCCTCTCTTCCCTCTGTCCTCTGTCTCTCCCTCCCTCTCTTCATTCACTAAGCTCTTACTCTTTGCCAGGCTCTCTACTGGGTATTGCGGACACATCTGCAAGGAGCTCATAGTTTCATGGAGAAGATGAACACAAGAACAGCTAGTTACTATACAGATAATACCAATTATAGAGAAAGGCGGGAAAGTGAACAGGAGCAGAGAGAATACTATAGTAATCACTATTCTGAGCAGTGACTATGTTTCAGGTCCTGGGAGTTTTTCTGTGATTCTGTTTTAAGAAATGCTTTTACACACATTGATTCATTTAACCCTCATCACACCCCTACTATTGGCTACTATTATTATCCCTGTTTTATAAATGAGGAAACCAAGACACAGAGACATTAACTTGCCTAGATTATACAGTTTATAGGAGTGGAGGCAGGAGCCCAAGCCAGGAAGGCTGGCTTCAGAAGCTGTGTTCCTAACCATTGGTCTCTAAGTGTCCAGCTGCCATGTTTCGATGAAGAAAGTAAGACTCAATCAGTCACATTTTGAGCAGACCCTGCGCTAGGTGTTGGGTCAGATGACAGATATGTCCATGAACAAGTCAGGTGATTTCAGGGACTGATGAAGGCCGTGATGCATCACCACGCGACGTGGTAGGACGAAGAGGGCCCTGTTAGCTGGAGTTGGGGAAGGCCTGTTTGAGGATGTGGATGCGAGCTGGGAGCTGGATATGGAAGAGGCAGCTCCGTGAAGGTCTAAGAGGTGCCAAAACAGGCCGGATAAATAGCAGGTGCAAAGGCCAGCATGCTCAAGGGATGAGGAAGCCCCAGGCAACTGCAGAGTCATGAGTGAGGTCAGGGAGGTGGGCGAGATCCAGTCTTGTAAGGCCGTGATGGCCTAAGTGAGCATCCTGGATTTACTGTACTCCCAGGAGAAAGGCAGTGGAGGTGTTCGAATCGTGGAGTAACCAAATGGAAGATCAGTTAGGAAGCTGATGCAGTGGTCTTGGGGAGAGGTGATGGTGCCATGGACTAAGGTTATAGCAGTAGAAGTGGAGAAAAATGGCCAGATTTAGGGGATATTTTGGAGGTCCAGGTGCAGGACACAATTTAGGTGACCAGCCTGAGGTCACCACTACAAGGTTTCAGAGCCTGGATTCAAACCCAAACCCCCCGACTCTGGTCTGGGGCTTGTTCTGCCATAGCACAGCTGCCTCCCTTGCCTGGCTGACTCATGATTAATTGATTGAGGCAGCCACTTATTTTTCAACAATCAGAGGGAACCTTTAGTTAGCCCGCTGTCTGAAATGGCAGAGCCTGATTTGGGAGGTCACTCTGAGAAAAAGGCCTTCCTGGGGATGAAGCCCTGATCTGACTGATGGGTGGCCAACCTCTAATTCTGTTACACTTGTTGAAATGTGACTGAGCAGGTCCCAGGTGCCTCCCAATGACCGGATGCCCTACTATTGCCTCATGGTTTAAAGACATCTGCTGTCTTATCTCCCTCAGGCACTAGTCTGACCATACCTTATTTAAAAGCTCCACACCCTCATTGCCCAGCACAAGGCCTGACACACAGTAAGACTGCAGTAAATGAGGGTTGAACAAAGGAAACTCTGAGATGTGCAAGCTGATTGCCTGACTGACCCTGGGTGTGATTTCTTATAAATCACTTTCCCTCTGTGTCTCAGTTTCCTTAGCTGAAAACTCACCTCTTAAGACAGTTAAGAGGGCTCTCTAGTTTTATAGTTTGGAAGTGGTTGTTTGAGGTGTGAAAAGAAGTTACCGACCTTTGTTGACAAGTGAGCTGCCTCCACGGAGCCAATACGACCTCATGATGGTCACATTGTTGAAGTTCACGATTGTTCAGTGCTTTTCAGCTTTCAGGCCCTCCCCTGTCGGCTTCCAGTGCAGTGTGATGGAAAATAGAAGCTAGAACCAGACCCCCAGAGCCTGGTGTTGAGCCCCAGCTTTGCTTTGGCTTACCTTTGAGCTATTTTTGTTTCTCCAAACCTAGTGTAGTACCAGGACCAAGTAGATGCTCGGTGTCTCCATCTATAAAGCCAAGATCACAGTCCTTGTCCTTGTGACCCAGTGGACCAAACAGACATTTTTACTGTTCTTTAAGCCCCATTTAGATGATGGTCAATGCAGCTAACTGGGTCCCCAGTGCTACCGAACAATCTAGCAGAAAACACCTCAGCTGTGTGGCTTGGGACCATCACACATTCACTGTCTTCAAGCCCACCTGCCAAGTCCTCTGAGTTTCTCTTACTGATCCACTTCCCCAATGTCCAAACCTTTTTTAAACCTTCTCTACTTTTCCCAAACATCGTAGTCTACACCTCTCTCTTTCTCAAAAGATGGCCTTGTCTCTTCCTTCACAGAGAAAAGAAGAGGGACTCCCACAGCTCGGGACCACCACACCTACAGACTAAATGTACCTCCCCCCACCCCCCATTCTTCTGCCTCAGGTCCTAAAAGAAGAGTTTTCTTATATTTGGGGCTGGCCATTCTTTTCATCTGGATCCCAGCCCACCTGCCTTCAAAATAAATACCTGTTCCTCCAGCTATGCTGCAGCCCTATTGCTTCTTTCTAACATCATTTAAATATACTTGGATGACTCTTTCTTAAAAAAAAAAAAAACACTTCGTAGAGGCCACTGCCATCACCCAGCTGTTGCCATGTGTCTCTTTTCCTTTTCATATCTCAGTTTCTTGAAAGAGGCATCCACACTCCCTGCCTGTGTTCACTTGTAACTCCCCTGCCGTCAGGCTTCCAGCCCCAGTCCTCTGCTTAATCCTGTTTTCCCAGTGACTTCCTCCTTACAGATCCAGGGCATGTTGTTCACCTCCTCCCCAGCACTGTGGGGCACGACCCTTCCCCCTTAACTGAGTAACGTATCTCGATGGCTCAGAATCCTCCTGCCTCTGGCTTCTCATCCCCCTGTAGGCTGCTCTCCCTCTGTGCTCCCCTCGTCTCCAGCCCTCTGCTCTCGTCCTACAAAGCTTTCCTCAGCTGAGCTCTCTGCCCAGTGTTCCCGTTGCCCTCAGTGCACCCTCGTCCCCAGGGTGAACTCCACACTCCTCATCCTGGGGCCGATGCCTGGTGATCCGGCCTCTGGTGACACCCCGACCTCATCTCGTGTGACCCTTCTCGTCTTCGGCTGCGCTCTAACCGCAGAGGCCTCCTTCCACTTCTTTCCTGTTCCCACCGCTGCGGTGCCCTTCCCCTGATGCGCACATCCTGCCTCCTCCTCCTCATTTGGGGACCCCTTTCACAACCGCCCAGTCTAAGGTAGACTTTTCATTGCCCTCTAGCATGTCATCCTAAAATTTCTGCATGGTTATTTCTTACTTGTTTATTTACTGAATAATTGTCCTTCTCCCTACAATGAGCATCTTATTCAGGACCAGCATGTAGTGAGTGCTCAATAAATACTTGTTGAACGGATGAAGGACGATTCCTAAATCTACATTTGACCTCAGCTCACACTTCTGAGTTCCTGACCCCTACATCCAGGTCCCGTGGATGTCCACATGACGTTGGCAAGACTGCACTGCTCACTGCTCTCTCCTTTTTCTTTCCCCCAAAGCCTCTGCCCCTTCTGTGTTCCCTGGATTGGTGAGTGGCACCACCGACCTGGGACCTAGAAATGTCCCATCCTTGATTCCTCCACATGACTCACTCCCCATTCGTTCTGCCTCTAAACACCTCTTAAAACTTCTCTCTAGGACGTGGTTCCATAGTGTAGTGGTTAGCACATCTGCTTTACACGCAGAAGATCCTGGGTTCACGCCCCAGTAGAGCCACGGTCCATGGTCTGTGGCCATGCCACCCTGAACAAGCCCAATGTCTGATCTCGGAAGCTAAGCAGGGTGGGGCTTGGTTAGTATTTGGATAAGAGACCACCTAGGAAGACCAGGTGCTGTAGGCATAAATAATAATAAGTAATTAAAAACAAACAAACAAACAAAAAACATCTCTCCATACCCACTGCCCTCCCACAGTCCAGGCTGCATGTCTCCCCTGCTCTGCTCCAGCGGCTCCAGGCTCCTCTCTCCATTATATAACCCAGCGATCTTTCAGAAACAAAATATCTCATTATCACCACTGTATCATGGTGTGCTGTAGGCATAAATAATAATAAGTAATTAAAAACAAACAAACAAACAAAAAACATCTCTCCATACCCACTGCCCTCCCACAGTCCAGGCTGCATGTCTCCCCTGCTCTGCTCCAGCGGCTCCAGGCTCCTCTCTCCATTATATAACCCAGCGATCTTTCAGAAACAAAATATCTCATTATCACCACTGTATCACAGCCAGTCCATGGTACTTATGAAAGGATAAGCTTCTTAACGTGTCATAAAAGCACCATCATAATGCAGCCGTTGGCTATAGCGCCAGCTTTACTTTTCAGCAGCATTCCCCCGAAACTCTTAAGTTCTTGCCATAGTAAACTACTGTATTTCCTCAACCAGCCTCGTTCCCTCTCACATTAGGGAATTTGCAAATTTCGTTCCCAGTGCCTGGAACGTAGGTCATTCTCCCTACCTTCCACCGGTTCTGCTTTGTCCAGCTGGCCGCTCGCTGCTCACCACCCAGATCTGCCTGGGAGAACCTCCCTTCGGAAGGCCTTCCCCACCCTCTTGGTCCCAGCGTGCCTACGGCTCTTCTCTTCTTACCTTGTCTTCGCCTCCCAGGAGCCTGGGCTGGCAGCCCCTGAGAGCCCATAAATGTTTGCCTGCCCTGCACGGGAATGAAGGGAAATTGACTTGCCCAAGGCCGTACAGCTAGTTAGACCAGAGCCAGGCAAAACTGAGCCTGCAGCTTCCCATCTCCAGAGGCTTCTTGTCTTACCGAAGCACAATGTTTTTGGTTTGTTTGTTTTACTACAACCAGGCAGGTTTGAAGTTCGTCTCCCATCCCACCATATACTCATGATTTTTAGCCTAATTATTTGAGCTCTTCCAGATTGTGCTTGACTGGTTTTTTCCATGCAGACTTTCTGCTGGGTTGAGATTATATTTATTTTGTATGATTCTACCACATCTAGCCACATTTGCTGTATAAAAATGGCGAAAGGGTTGTTGAGGATAGTCTCTTCTCTGATTTTAAAATAATTTCTTACCAGATAGCAGTGGGGGAGGGGGTGAACACTGACACCACTTTGGGAAGATGCAAGCAGGAGGGTTGGAGGGATCTCACTTTAATGACAAGCTCCGGAAGGACAGCTAAACCTTATTAAGGTCACATGACCTTTTGCAGAGTGTCTGAGTTTTCCACATGAGCCACAGCATTGAGTTCTGGTTAATTTTTACAACTTTTTTAATAGGACACATTAGCGCTGTTATAAACCTTGTTAATTAAGCAATAATCTCAAATGCTCCCTCGCAGAGGGAGACGTTCCTGGCAACTGCAGATGATTAATATCTAAAGTCTAACGAAAGCTTTTTAATCAACATGAGGGACCATTCAGTGCTCTCACACCCAGGAAATGAGACTGATTGGAATTCCGCGGCGGCCTCTCTGCAGACCTTTCTCCTTTTGTACCTTTCTCTTCCCGCTGTCTTCTCCAACTCATGCCGGGGGCTCCAAGGGCCATCAGACCCCCTCTCCTTCTTTCTCCTGCTCTTTCCTTTGCCTCTTTGCCATCCTTATTACCTTCTAGAGGCCGAGAGCTGGAAGAATCTCCCTGGATCATCCAGTTGGATATCCTACTTTAATAGATAGTGACACTGAGACCCAGAGAGGTTCCCGCTAGAAGTTGTACAGCAAGTAAGTTTAGGGCCAAACACCTAAACTTTGGAACAGTTCACAGCATCAGTTGCCTCCCTCATTCGCTTCAGATTCCAGCAGTCGCTGTGATTGTCTGCTTTCTCCTTGCCCGGAGCTGGAGAGAGAATGCCCAAGTGTTCCAGGCTGTAGGAAGGACAGCGTGGTTGTGGTTTCATTAGGTTGTGATCCATGCTTTGACAGAGAAGAACCCAGGCGAGTGTGGGAGCACAGAGGCTTAGGCGTCTCCTAACTCAGTCTGGGAGGTTCCAGCGAGGCTGAGTTGGGAAGAATGAATAGGGTGCAGGCAGGTGGAACATGGAGCCAGGGTAATCTGAAAAGAGATGAGCGAAGACACTGATTTGTGGGAGAAACTGGAGTGAGGAGGGAATTGCAGGTGGTTAATAACAGAGGTAGGACTGAAGAGAGAGATAGGGCCCCCTACCTTGTTGTCTGAGTCCCTATAGAAAGGCCAAGACAAGATGAAGTGAAGATTAGTAGGGCTTAGGAGTGGTCAGGAAGTAGTGGGAGTCAATTAAAAGCTTTTAATGGCTTCTCCATGCAAAACCCTTCTCAGTGGGGAAGAAACAGTGCCCCGGGTTCAGAGTTGGGGGAGGGGGACAGCAGTGGATTCTGCCCATACCACCTTCCTTTCTCCAGGCCTCCAGCTTCTCACGGGGAAGTGCTGGGGTTAGCACAGGTTAGTCTCTGATCCCTTCTAGTGTTGACAGTCTGCATTTCTAAGAGGATTACCTGCCATGTGCTGGTTTGGTACACAAGATTTTATTTCCTTTCCTTAAAATTGGCTTGTCATTCCTGTTTTATAGGAGAGAAAGCTCAGGTTCAAGGAAGTTGAAATTCTTGCCCATGGTGATGGACTCCAGTGGTGCATCCCCCACCCGCACTCCCAGTCCTCTTATGTCCAGAATTTTTATGTCCCCCCAGGTTTCGCTGGAAGAACACTGACTTATTCATTTGTTTAACAGATATTTACTTAATCTCGCTCTGTGCCAAGCACTGTGCTAGGTGCTGGGAGTGAACCGTTGTAGATACATAAGATAATTGCAACAACCCCACACAGGTGTGGTGTTCCTTACAGTTTGAAGAAGGCTTGCAAAATGTTGCTCTCATATCCCTCGTGACAGCCTTAAAAAAGATACTCTGCGGTTTGTTATCCTTGTTTACGAGGTGAGGAATCAGTCCTGATCTGGGGCTCGTTCTGCTTCATCTTGGCAAATGGCAGACTCAGTAAAAGTGGCTCTCGGAAGCCTCATTAGTAATCACCACAATGAGACACCACTTCACACCCACCAGGTTGTCAAAACCTTAATAATCTGACAGTGTCAAGTGCTGTCGAAGATGTAGGGCAACCAGTACTGCACGCACGACTGTTGGGAGTGCCAGTCAGCAGGGCCACTTTGGAAAACAATTTACTAGGCATCACCTAGTAAACTTGAGCGTGCACATACCCCAACACTCAGCAGTTCCACACCTAGGCCCATACTGGAGAATTTCCTACACACCTACCCCAGGAGACATGTGCCAGCATGTTTGTAATTACAAAACACTGGAAACAACTCAAGTATCCATTGACAATAAAATGGATCGGCAAACTGTAGAGTAGTCATACAGTGGAACACCACTCATCGATGTGAAAATGAATGACCCGTAGCTATATACTTGAACAGAGGTAAATTTCAGGGCTGTAATGTTGAGTGAAAAAAAAAAGTCAGAAGGCTATGTAGAGTATGGACACACTCATAAAAAAGTGAAAAACAGAAAAGTAAACAGTATGTTATTTAAGGACGCATGCATGTGTGTTAACATTAAAATGAAAGCAAAAATTTAGGAGAGCGGTTGTTTCTGGTGAGGGCGGGAGAGGATGGAATGGAGGAGGGGCGTCCAGGGGCTTCAGAGGGACCAGAAATGTCCTGACAAGCTAGGTAGTAGGCACCTGGGTGTTTTAGTGTTATCTTTAAAGGGTAAATTTACAGTGTGTTTTTACACTTTTCTAAGTACATTTTGTGATGAAGATTTGAAAGTATTGCCCTGCCACATACGTGAATTGGTATTTGGGGAGTATGTCAGTAGACACATTTTCCTTTCCCTCAAAAGATTTTTACTCAGATTCACCATTAATCCTCGGCCTTCTCATCTCTTTTTCCCTTTCCAGAGTGTTTGTATGACAGAATAGCACAAGAAACTGTGGATGAAACTGAAATTGCACAGAGACTCTCCAAAGTCAACAAGTACATCTGTGAAAAAATCATGGATATCAATAAATCCTGTAAAAACGAAGAACGGAGGGAAGCAAAATACAATTTGCAATAAACTTTGGATTTTTCATAACGCCTTCTCGTTTTCCTTGCGTGGCGTGTGATTTGCGGGCGACGGTGCCGTCCGGACCAGACCCCACTGTGCATGGTGGTGTATGGGCAGGGAGCCAGTAGGGTTCTGGGGTCAGCGGCTTGTTCTGAACTTGGACTTCCCACTTCAAAGAAGTCAGATGGATTTGCTGAGACTCGGGCAGCAACCTGGCGCCAGTGTCGTTCTGGGGATGGGGAAAACACTGTCTTTTCAGAGGGGGATAAAATGTCTCTGAGTTGCCCGTCACTTGACCCAGAATTGGAACTGATATTTTTACCATTCAAGGACTTCGCTGCTCCTCTATTCTGTTCTATAATAAAGCATCATTAATTCTTTGATGTAGGCAATCATTACCCTCATTTACTTAAGGATAGTAATTGTACAGTGAAGGTGACCAGTGTCCCTTGAGGGACAGAACATTTAGGCCAAAGGAGAGAAAATTCATAAGGGACGTGGTTGCTGTCTACAGATCTGAAAGGCTGTCTCAAAAGCAGACTACTTCAAAGGGCAGATCTAGGACCAGTCACCTTTCCCGTGCAAGGCGATCTGAGATCCAGCTTCCCAGATGATTTGAGTCAATCTTTGCAGAGGGGTGTAGGGGAGCAGTAATGTTAGATGTGGTCCAGGGGTACCATCAGGAAGTCAGGGACAGTCACCCGACGTCAGTTTGTTTTTCCCATCTTATATCTCAAATGTAACTCTTTCAAGTTACATAATTTTTATCTCATTCAGTATCTGAGTCTCTAAGGTTCCCAATGTGCATCTGACAACCACATTTGATCTCACTGTTGATTTGCACTTTCCTTTCTGTAATGCCTGTGAAGTCAGCATGGTATCTTGGAAATGGCAGAGGTTTTGGGCTGAGCACTTGGGTTCCAAGTCTTGCTCTCCCGCTCGCTTTGAGCTTAACCTAACCTCCTGAGTGACCATTTTCTGTTCCATAAAAGGGAGATAATATCTAACTTGCAGAGTTGCTATAAGGATTATATATATTTAGTACTCAATAAATGTTGGCGATCGTTAATTTCTTAATTTTTGGTTATTGGCTTATAGGCATTGGTTGGAAAACTTTAGTCTCTGGTTTCTTTAAAGCATGATCTACTAGACCATTAAAGCATGATCTACTAGACCATTAAAGCATTAATGGTCTGTAAGCAAAGCTCAGGATCACTGGGGTAAGGAAGGGAGGTGGGTGCCTCTTTGAGGACTTTTATTCTAGTAAATAAAATAATCCTTTGTAATGTGAAATACTATATGTTCTCTAATAGGATGTATAGATGTGAATTTCCTTTTATGGTATTTTCCTAGCTCTCCTCAAACTAGCAGTGTGATCTTGGGCCAATCGCTTCTCAGAGTCCGTATCAGTGTAAACGGAAAATAATTAAGTAGTAATAATAGCAACAACAACATACTGAATATGTGCCAGGACTTTTCCAAGTGTTTAACATAAGGTTAACTCATTTCATGGGTCAGTCAAGTTCGTGACTCTTAGCGGTGTTCAATACGTTCTTGTTATTAAGATGTGTTCATTTTAATGGCATGGGGGCAGCTTGGGCATGAGTAACATAGAAGGCGTGAGAGTCTGGGAAACAGTATGCATCATACTTGAGCTCATCCCTCTTCTCCCTAAGCATGGCAAAAGTATACCCAGAGGCTCTGTCCATTTTTCTTCAAAGACTAATACTGTATAACCTGCTTCGTAGGTGCTTTTAGGTGAGGGGAGAATAGTAATGGAAATACATACTTGAAAATGCTGTGGCGTGTGAAAGTGCTTTGCGTCATGAACGACGCCTGTGAAAGTGTTTTGTGTAATATACGATGCATGCATTCGGGACAGAACCGAGTTGTGAAAGATTGTGAGACCCAAGTTCAAATTCTGCCTTTGTCGCTTCTAGGAAGGTCACTTGACTTCTCCGAGGTTCGTTTCTTCTAAAGTGGAACTAATGATTGCGAACTCAGAGCTGCAGAGCGTAATCCCGGTGATATCTGGAAAAGGCTCTGTAAGTCTCGAAGAGCCATGCAAATGTTAGTTATCCGTGGCTTACAGGCAAAATAAAATCAGAAGTGGGTGTGACAAAGAAGGACCTAAGAACCGATTCTGATAGAGAATTGGGAGGTTTTGCACATGAGTTAAAGAGGTTTCTGAGCGCCTGTTGTGTAACCAATGCCCTGGTAGAGTTATATGAGGTCAAAGCCGTCATTCTTGTATCCATAAGAATGAGGAAATGGGCTCAGAAAAGGTGAAATAACTTCTTGGCCAAGGTTCCAGGTTTGTCAGCAATGGAGCTGGATCAGAATCCCAGTCTATGCAAAATCTGCCCTTTCACCTGTTTCTTGAAAGATGAGTGGGCTATTATGGTCTGGGCTCAGAATCTAGCTGTGTAATCTCAGGGTTTGTCAAAGACTCGACCTAAGTAATCAGCCAATAGAAATCAGTTTCATTAAAACCATTTGGAAGGACTGGGAATAATAGTACTATTTATGAGGATTCAGTTTTATTACATTCAAGTACATTTGCAAAACTCAAGCCCATTTTGTGTAGAAGAGGGTTTCCTAAACTTACCAAATCTTAAGAATCTGCTGAGACCATTAAAATAGAGATTCCTGGGCTTTGGTTGAGAGAGCTGGGTTCAGTAGGTGTGGGATGGAGCTGGGAACGTGTATTTTAACACAAGTGCTACTTCTGAATAATACCAGTTTGGTAGAAGGCCTGCTTGAATGAAGGAACAAGAGTATATTTGAAGTAAAAAGATATGCTTCCTCTAAAGTGCCTGAGGTTATTTGAAATGGAAAATAAATTTTCTTTTAAATAGCTGAGGATCTGCCCTAACCTTATTCAGAATTAAACTTTCATGCTCTGTCAATGCTGTTTACTTGAACATGATGCAGAAAGTGACTTTTATTCTAGGCACTAATGACTACTCCGTCACTTTTACATTTCAATTCTTTCTTTCGATTCCTTTCTTTCAATGTCAGTCAGTGAGTTGTGTAAGACAAGGCAAGACAGTCAAATACCAAATGGCAGGGCCTGAATTGCTGAGGTTTGGGCACTGTCTTCAGAAGGCCTGGCAACAAGTCCTGTTAGCAGACAAAACAAAGATGTGGCTTATTTTTATTTTCTGGTCGAGAAAAGTGTTAGTGACTGTTATGTGCCCAAAGGTTTCTTGGATGCATTTCTAAATTATGACTTTCTTAAGTATAAATAAATAAAACCACTTTATAGAAACTTGTGGACAATATGGGCAAACATTCCAGTTGCGCTACTACAAATATCACGACGTATCTTAGTCTTTTTTTTAAGGGTGTAAATATGTATTTTATATACCTGCGATCATAGCATATGATCAGATTTGTATCCTCTTTCCATTTAACCTGCTTCTCTGCTGCTCTGTGTAATTTATAGCAATCAGTTCTAACATCTACCAAGAGAACGGATATCATACTATAATCCAGGAAACCACCTGGCCAGCTGTGGGGCTAACCCACAGGACTTCCAGTTCGTGAAAGGCCTCGCTGCACACTTTGGTCCAGCTCAGTGGTAGAGTAAGCTTGGGTTAAGGTCATTGCATTTTAGTTTAATTCCCACCTCTAGCACCTGCTACCTCACTTGAGATGAGTTATTTCGTCTTTCTGAAAACCAGCTTCTTCATCCTCAAAACAAAGAAAATAATCCCTAGTTATGGAGGACTGAGCATGTATTAAAGTGCCCCAAAGAGCGGAGATAAATGGTCGCCGGTATTAATGTTGGTGTTCCTCCCCTCCCGTCTCCTCTCCCTCCACCCTTTAGTCCTCACCTGAGTGTGCTCCTGTCCTGTCTCTTGCCTGCTCTGACCTTGGCCTTCGCACCTGCCTTTGGCCCTCCAGTACTCATGGGCCTTTCCCTGTGGGCTCCTTCGAGCTCCCTTCACCGTCCTGAGCCCCCACCCCCTGCGCCCTTGAATTTTTACGTTGTTGATGAACATTTTCGTGTGCAGTCCCCCCCACCCCCCACTTATATTTTCTATCATTTTCTTAGGGTTCTTTTGCCTGGGTCAAAAAGAATAACGTTTTAACATTCTTGATACATACGATGGGTGTAACCATGTTTTAAATTATTTTGCCAATGTAATAGGTGAAAACTAGTACCTAATTATATTTTCTTTGATTATTTCCAAGACTCCAGAGTTTGGTTTCTTGTTAACAGAAAATGATAGCTTAACCTGTAAGGATCTCCAGCAGAATCTATGTCATTTTCTTTAGTTTTCTCTGGACCAACCTGTTTACCTTGGGCATATAATTGTTACTTTTATATCTTCAAATAGACCTACCAACAGATGTCGTCATCACTCCTTTGGAAGGGATTGATCAGTTTCCACCAAACAGCTTCATAGGCTCATGGAATCTAAAGGTCAAAAGTGAACTTTGAGGTTGCGAGGTTCTGAGATCTGTCCACCCCAAGCAGTGCCTTTCCAGACGTACTTGAATGCCTCTAGGCATGGGAATTATTCTTCTCACCTGAGAGTCCATCCAGTTACTGCCATCATTAAAATATTCTTCCGCTAAGCTGAAAATCTACTTCCCTGAGAGTTCTGAGGTCATTCAGATTCTATCCTCTGAAGTCACACAGAGTGCTTCTAATCAGAGCCCTTTGCAGAGCTGAAGGTGGCAGTCGTATCTCTTCACCAACTAATAAATAGCTCAGATTCTGTTCCACCATTTCTCACGTGAGAGAGGCTGCCCAGGAATTAGATGGCTCTGGGTTCAACTCTTGACTGCCACAGGATTGTCTCAAGAGCAGTGTGAGATAATGTGAGTAAAGCACCTAGGCATTTACTGTGTCTTAGTTCCCTAATCCTAAGAACACTGACCATCCTGGTTGCTCTTTTATAGATATGTCCCTAACAGGTGGGGTTCAGGACTGAACGTTACCCTAGGAAGGGTCTGATCAGCACTAACTAGAGCAGATTGTCGCCTCTTACTACTGGATGGCATTTCTCTATTAA